CCGAGTGATCTCTACAGCGACTACGATAATATGCGAGGAACACGTGTAGTTACCTTTTCCCGCGTGTCTCCGAAGTGTTTCCATGATCTTGTTGACAGTCTCTGCCACCTCATCGGATACACCCTCGTTTGCAGCGAACGTCATGATGAGTGACGCAGCGGTTTCCTGCTGCTCTACTGCCACAGCCGAGACGGACCCGACCCGAGGCTGTGAAGCAGCGATGAAAGCAAAATCGTCTGCTAAACTCCTTTCCACTTCTAGCGGCATTGGGTAGAGGGAGTCGCGATCACTTGGCAGAGTACTAGCACAAGGACGACGGGCCCCGACGTGCTTATTGTTGCAGAGCTTCTGTGTACGATGCTCGAGTACATCAAGATCAATACCCTTCCAGATGCTTTGATTTCTAGAGGCTGTGTCGGGATTTAAAGACATGGTATTCGTGTCAGTAAACGGCGGACGATAGAGTATGTTCTCCGAAAATTGGCTTGCCTGTCATTACGACCTAAAATCGCCATCGATAGGATTAGACATAACGGCAGGTCTACGTCCTTCGTCCGCGTATCCACATTGGCTAAGTAAGATGTGCTTCTTCCGCTGATGTTTGCTTTTCAGACTTCGGATGATGGGATCCCCAAACCACACGTGGCCTTTGGCGCGACTCTGCGGACAGGCCATATCATGGCTGTCGAACGTAGCCGGTACGTAGGTAGGTATGGAACTCGTGGAGATCCCCGCATAAGGCCATGGCCCGTGGGCAGTTGGGTTGTAGGATGACAATGCATCTGCATTGCTTCGACGCCAAAATTGTTTTATTTCTACAGTAGAATGTTCAGAGTCGAAACAGGGGCACCCAACAGACCAATCATGTGCGCTATTCTGGTCTTGGCACGGGGGTCTCAATGAGTCAGCGCCAGACACTGTCTCCTCACCTCGTTTCCGCTCACGACGCTCTTGGTCTATCAATCAGTACTCTCGTTCCTTTCTGGCTCTCTTAAGACGATATCTATCATCAATAATCGCCTGGCCTACAGTATGAGCACTCGTCTCATTCCATCGGCCGCCGTGTTAGCCTTCAGAGACTCTTCCGGGCTCCCGACACTAAAGCGTTTTTGTTAAGTCTGCTACAGAAGCGTGAGACGAACCAAGTGGATGTTGTCAAGCAGACCCTGAATCACATGTCCGGTCACGCAGAAGAGCACGCACTACAGATGGCCTTGGTGTGGCGCTAGGCAAAAGAGCATGAAGTGTGGAAGAGCTGTACAAATCCAGATTGGCGGACAGAAGATGCGTTTTTAAACAGTCTTGACGGAAACCAGACCGTACGACTATGTATCCAGTTTGGAACGTGCACCGATGTTGCTCGCCGGGGAAAGATCAACATTATCAGGCGAAACTGGAGAGAAGAGTGGTACAGCTGCGGAGCGCGGAGCAGCACTAGGATTTCTCGAGCACGCTATCCAAGATCGCACAGCGGTTGGATCGCGGGAAGCATCAGGCTGGAAAGCTACAACGACGACCCACCATATGCTTTGTGACGTGCAATCGCTCATAGCGCATGTTGAGGAAGATCGGCCAACGTCTATAACGAAGACGTCACAAAAGACACAGTCTACTGGCTCAGACGAGGAAACCCTGGAGTTAATTAGCTCGAAGGGAATGTCAAATGTCTCTGCTTTTGGGGGGTCAAGGGAATCAACAAATAAGACACCTCGTTCAACTACAAAGGCGAAAGCAAAGCCGCTGCCGACTAGTAAGGGGAGAAAAGCGAAGCCTCAGACAACAGATGATATCGAGCAGCTGCAAACTATTCTTCAAGAGGAATCAGCAAGGAGAGCTGGTGAAAGACAGCCAGGGAGCATCGTCAACGACAGCGACATTCAAGTGACCGTGCAAGAAGGTCGGAGCTGCGAGACAGTCACGGTGGATATCGGTGCATCAGCCCTAACGAAGACGCCGATGCTTGAAAGAGATTTGTCAAATGAGCCCTCCCAAGAATCCTTAAACATGGACAGTCTCAGGTTTACGTGTTAGAGCGATGTGGGTCGTGACGTTACTGAACAGTTTCTGCCGACATCTTGGTTTTCCCCAAGCTTATATGCCTACACTTTTTCAAAGCACAGACCGAACACTTTTGGCAGTGTGTGTGATAGCCCTCCACTTCCACTCTGGCACCCGCCTCGTGCGCCAGAATGGTACCGGGTCACGCCCGAGACTACGTCGCACGTCGGCATATCAGCGGCACAGTCCACGCTACTTCAGTGCATAGACAAACTACTTGGGACACAGCAGAGCCCGAGGCACCAAGATGCGGTGCTCCGTGAGGCTCGAATACATCTGCCTCGGGACCACCGCTGCATCCTCCAGCTAGTCGATATCAGGGGCCCGTCGTAAAATTGTACGTGGATCAACATCCTGATCTTGTTGGCGACTTTGACAACGTCGTGGAGGAGCTCGCTAGATTTCGGACCGTCCATCTTCGTGCGGCCTCCAGATATGCGATCACGGTCAGAGCGAACATATGCTAGAATAGGGGCTCGCTGATGTGCGAGGCTGATGAGATATGGACATCATTTGTCTTGCCGGCGTAATTACAATGCAGTAGTCTCATGCCCTTGGTATTGCGTTTCTCGAGAGGACGTTATAACACTCATTCTCGTTGTCCGAATATGATGCACTCGGTGTTAGTCGAGTCTGTCGAAATTGCATCTTCGAAGATCATTCCGTGCCTCCCTATCGTCAGATTTAGTCAGAGGCGTATCGTTGCATTCTTTAGTACTTGTGCATAATCTTGAACGATACAACCGACGAGTAGAAACAGAGCTGGCGTGCTTAAGTGGCAATCTGAGACCGTGTGCCGTAGCAACTGCAGTCAGTTCGATCCGGTAGAGCTGCTTTTCACACTCGAGCGGACTCACCACTATTTCTGGTGTTTGTTTAACACGAATCTTCAACTTTGCGGTGAAGTTTCGATCGCTAGTACGGCTGAAAGTACGTCTCCCACATACGCAAACCCCTCTTGCGATACAACAGACATGTTTGATGACTAGCAGATGGCTACTTGACTTCGTCGGCGCTCGGGGAAGATCTTTCGGGTAAAATTCATCCCTGCCCCACTTACGCAACAACTTCTACGATGAAGTGAATTGTTAGCTCGTCCGCAGATTTGGATGTAAAGTAGCGCGGAGGCTATAGAAGACTCTGACTACGATCTTCTGAGTGCCTCGTCGGCATGCCCGCTCAATACGTCCAAAGGACTCCATCTTGACCTGATCTCGAGCTGCTTTGCCTTGTCCGCGAGTTGACTATTTGTATCAACGGATTACAATTGCGACTTTATAGGCCGTTTATACTCCGCAATTGCTTCATCAATCGCCGAAATTCGCTCTTCTCGTTCTTGGGGCCTTGAGTATATGACTTAGCACATGGCCATGCAATGTCCGTGCCGGAAAACCAAGCCATGCTGAGTCACCCGGTGAACTGCATGCCTCGACTTTCAACACCAACGAGCGTAGACCCTATTAAATTCATACCTCCTCTGTAGAGTGTTGTACAGACCCTTAAAACGACTTCTGAAAGAAGCGCTCGCTTCGTGTCCTCCACTCCCACTGAGATTGGGGAGCTCTTCCATACCGCACCAGGCACAAGCGGGACCAGGAAGGACCCTCCTGCGCACTGGTACGAGGCGCAAATAATCCACTATGGCTTCAGAACAAGGCTAATATGCTGTCGCGATTCCCTTACAGCTTCCGGCAATGGAGGCACCGACTGGAGGAGATGCCTGGCAGTTGGCGACAGGCACTTCTAAGGCAGGGCAAAAAAGATAACGATCGGGAAGCTGAAGAGGGATCAAAGTACACAAAGATACCACTGTGTCGTCGCGGTACTTTCGAACCCGAGTCTCTGCCCCAATTCCTAAGGATGCAAACTCGTTACGACACCTTCGTCCAAGCAAAGCCATTGATTATGTGTAGTAACAACGTTATTCCAGAAGTCGGCAGCACCAGCCAATGTTTGGCGAATTGCCAGTTTTCTAGAGCGTACGAAACCCGCAACCAGAACAGCGAATATCCACCACAATAGGTAAGACACTTGGCGAGCCTGCTTCCAGGTTAGCTTCATAAGGGAGTAGAGAGATATGACCGACCGGGTCTTAAAGCTGTGTGAGACAACGTAAGTCTGAAGCAGCGACACGACACAGTTGACCACCATCCATGCTTGATAGGCCGTTTGCTGAGCTTTCTAGCCGTAGAAACAGAGACTCACTAAAAGTACTAGGCCTGAGATGAACAGTATCCCGTCTGCTAGTATAGCCCTAAGACCATTAGCCATCGGGCTATTAACGTACGCAAGGAAAGACACTCACAATCGTGCTTTCATTAATATACTGAGTGTCATCTCTGTAGCGCTTCGTAAGTGCACACGCAAACCACACCGCTAGGCTTAATGCATATAGCAGCACGAGCAAGTCGTGAGTGCGGAGATAGAATTCGGATGGGTTCCGGACGATATCGCAGGGCAGCACGAGAAGGCTTTTGCCGTGATAGCTTGAGCAATTTCAAAGGGCATGTTTGAGGTGACCAACGTTATTTCGCGGCGCCTCTTCTTATTACGCTAGCTATGTTTCACCGCTTCTTCTGTTATCAAGATTTGGAACCTTAAGTAGCACTAACCAGATGAGTTCCCACTACGCATGCTATGCTTTAACTGTCATAATGCTAGTCTCTTTTG